GGGTGATGATTTGATTGACAACTATTTTGTATTTTTAAAATATACAATTTGCCAACAATATCGCAAATATTAAACTAATTGCATGTTAAATTTTAATAAAAACATGATCATACGCACCTTAAGAGTGTTACCCTTGGTAACAATGGTTTCTTTTGCTCAAACAAGCAATTTAAAATGTAAATATATCCGATTTCGCACAACAATAGACCTTTCGCCTTCAAAAAAACTTTCACTATGGTTTTAATATTGGATACACCAGAATGACATCTTCCACTTAAAAAAAAAATCCTTAATATTAAAAAATGAAAAATTCAGAGATTTTCACTAATATCTCCAGTTTTTTACATTCCCCTGCAATGATATGCATATCATTAGATTCCTCTTGATGAGAGGTCATTGTATTGCTCATGAATAGCTGTACATAGCATATTTCTCTTTTTAAAATTTTAAATATGAATGTTATTTTATTAACTCAAAATGACCTTAAATGGAGGCATTCCACTGATATCTCCAGTTCTATACTTGCCCATGCAATGAAAGTCATATCCTTGGATTCCGCTTGGTGAGAGAAATCTTGTGATAGCTTATACATAGCTGTACATAGCATATTTCTATTTTAAAAGTTTTAAATATGAGTGTTATTTGATTATCTCAAAATGACCTAGAATTGAGGCATTCCACTAATATCTCCAGTTCTATACATGCTCCATCAATGAAAGTCATATCATTAGATTCCCCTTGGTGAGAGGAATCTTGTGATAGCTCATACATAGCTGTACATAGCATATTTCTCTTTTTAAAATTTTAAATATGAATGTTATTTGATTAACTCAAAATGACCTGAAATTGAGGCATTCCACTCATATCTCCAGTTCTATACATGCTCCTGCAATGACATGCATATCATTAGATTCCTTTTGGTGAGAGGAATCTTTTGATAGCTCATACATAGCAGTACATAGCATATTTCTCTTTTAAAAATTTTAAATATGAATGTTATGTGATTATGCCAAAATGACCTAGAGTTGAGGCATTCCACTAATATCTCCAGTTCTATACATGCTCCTGCAATGAAAGTCATATCCTTGGATTCCTCTTGGTGAGAGAAATCTTTTGATAGCTCATACATAGCTATACATAGCATATTTCTCTTTTTAAAATTTTAAATATGAATGTTTTTTGATTAACTCAAAATGACCTAGAATTGAGGCATTCCACTGACATCTCCAGTTTTATACATTCTCCTGCAATGAAAGTCATAGCATTAGATTCCTCTTGTTGAGAGGAATCTTTTGATAGCTCATACATAGCTGTACATAGCATATTTCTCTTTTAAAAATTTTAAATATGAATGTTATTTGATTAACACAAAATGACCTAGAATTGAGGCATTCCACTGATATCTCCAGTTCTATACATGCTCCTGCAATGAAAGTCATATCATTAGATTCCTCTTGGTGAGAGGAATCTTTTGATAGCTCATACATAGCTGTACATAGCATATTTCTCTTTTGAAAATTTAAATTATGAGTGTTATTTAATTATCTCAAAATGACCTAGAATTGAGACATTCCACTAATATCTCCAGGTCTATACATGCTCCTGCAATGAAATGCATATCATTAGATTCCTCTTGGTGAGAAAAATCTTTTGATAGCTCATACATAGCTGTACATAGCATATTTCTCTTTTGAAAATTTAAATTATGAGTGTTATTTAATTATCTCAAAATGACCTAGAATTGAGGCATTCCACTAATATCTCCAGTTCTGTACATTCCCCTGCTTTGAAATAGATATCATTAGATTCCTCATTGTGAGAGGAATCTTTTGATAGCACATACATGGCTGTAAATAGCATAGTTCTCTTTTGAAAATTTGAAATATTAGAGGTATTTGATTACTATTTGATTGTGTCATTAAGATTTCATCCCATTTCAACCAAAGTTGGGTGGGGTAATTAGGGTGTGGTCCTAAACACGTGACCACACCCACTTCCGGTTTGAAGTCTTGTATACTTCTATATATCGTTAAATACATAATCCACTAAAAGACCACCAAAATCCACTAAAGGACCAGAAATATCCACTAAAGGACCATGTGTCATTAAGATTTTTCCCCATTCAAACCAAAGTGAGGTGGGGTAATTAGGGCGTGGTCTTAAACACATGACCACACCCACTTCCGGTTTGAAGTCTTTTATACCGATATAAATACATAATCCAGTAAAGGACCACCAAAATCGACTAAAGGACCAGCAAATCCACTAAAGGACCAGGAAAATCCACAGAAGGACCACCTGTATTATAGAGATTATATTTTATCAAGATTTCATCCATTTTCAACCAAAGTTAAGTGGGATAATTAGGGCGTGGTCCTTAACACATGACCACGCCCACTTCCTGTTTCGAGTTTTTCACACTGAGATATGTGAAAAAAACGCATAATTTCATAGTTAAAAACGTTTTCAGAAAAATTTCTTAGAATATAAAATGTTTAAAATCACATGAGAAAATACATATAAAAATTTCACGGAAATATATAAAATCGCGAATTTTTGAAAAAATCCATTAAAGGACCACAAATCCACTAAAGGACCAGAAATATCCACTAAAGGACCATGAACCATTAAGATTTTTCCCCATTCCAACCAAAGTGAGGTGGGGTGATTAGGGCGTGGTCTTAAACACATGACCACGCCCACTTTCAGTTTGAAGTCTTGTATACTTATGTATTTCGTTAAATACATAATCCACTAAAGGACCAGCAAAAACCAATAAAGGACCAGCTGTTGTATAAACATAAAATTTCAGGAAGATTTTATCCATTTTAGACCAAAGTTGGGTGGGATAATTCAGGCGTGTCCCCTAACAAGCGACCATGCCCACTTCCGGTTTCGAGTCTTTTAGACTGATATATCTCGTTAAATACATAATCCACTAAAGGACCAGTGTTGTATAAACATAAAATTTCAGAAACATTTTATCCATTTTTGACCAAAGTTGGGTGGCGTTATTAGGGCTTGGTCCTAAACACGTGACCACGCCTACTTCCGGTTTGAAGTCTTTTATACCGATACATGTCGTTAAATACATAATCCACTAAAGGACCACCAAAATCCACTAAAGGACTAGAAATATCCACTAAAGGACCAGGAAAATGGAGTAAAGGACCAACTGTATTATAGACATTATATTTTATCAAGATTTCATTTATTTCTGACCAAAGTTGGGGGGTAATTAGGGCGTGGTCCTTAACATGTGACCACGCCCATTTCCGGTTTCGAGTTATACACACTGAGATATGTGAAAAAAGGCACATTTTCATAGTTAAAAAAGTTTCCAGAAAAATTTCTGAGAATTTAAAATGTTTAAAATAACATCAGAAAATACATATAAAAATTTCAGGGAAAAATATTAAATTTCGAATATTTTACAAAACTTCAATCCACTAAAGGACCAGAAAAATCCACTAAAGGACTATGTGTACTTGTGTAGTTAAGATTTTATCCAAATCCAACCAAAGTGTGGTGGGGTAATTAGGGCGTGGTCCTAAACACGTGACCACGCCCACTTTCGGTTTTAAGTCTTTTATACCGATATATGTCGTTAAATACATAATCCACTAAAGGACCACCAAAATCCACTAAAAGACCAGAAATATCCACTAAAGGACCAGCAAATTCACAAAAGGACCAGCAGTGTTTTAGAGGCTTAATTTTTATCAAGATTTTATCCATTTTCCACCAAAGTTGGGTGGGAAAATTAGGGCGTGGTTTTAAACATGTGACCACGCCCACTTTTGATTTCGAGTTATACACACTAAGATATGTGAAATAGGGCAAATTTTCATAGTTAAAAAAATTTTCAGAAAAATTTCTTAGAACATAAAATGTTTAAAATTACATCGCAAAATACCTATAAAAATTTCAGGGAAAAATATTTAATTGCGAATATTTTACAAAACTTCAATCCACTAAAGGACCAGAAAGATCCACTTAAGGACCATGTGTACTCGTGTAGTTAAGATTTTACCCAAATCCAACCAAAGTTAAGTGGGGTAATTAGGGCATGGTCCTAAACAAGTGACCACGCCCACTTCCGGTTTCGAGTTTTTTACACTGATATATGCGATTAAATACATAATCCACTAAAGGACCAGAAAAAATCCACTAAAGGACCAGCAAATCCACTAAAGGACCATGTGTGCTCATCTAGTTAAGATTTAATCCATTTTCAACCAAAGTTGGGTGGAATAATTAGGGCGTGGTCCACTTGACCACGCCCACTTCCGGTTTCAAGTTATACACACTGAGATATGTAAAAAAATGCTTATTTTCATAGTTAAAAACGTTTTCAGAAAAATTTCTTAGAATAAAAAATGTTTCACATTACATCCGAAAATACATATCAAAATTTCTCGGAAATCTATTTAATTTCAAATATTTTACATAACTTCAATCTCAGGTGAGATGTTATGGTAGATATGTTGATAAAAAAGTCTGGAAAATATTTCGACTTCAACCAAATACCGCCAAATTTGGGCGTGGTAATTAGGGCGTGACCCTAAACATGTGACCACACCCACTTCCGGTTTCGACTTATTGACGTTGAGATATGTGAAAAATTCATATTTTTAGCGCCAAAAAGGTTTTCACAAAAATTGCTTAGAATATAAAATGTTGCACATCGCATCCGAAAATACATATCAAAATTTCTCGGAAATCTATTTAATTGCGAATATTTTACATAACTTCAATCTCAGGTACCCCAATATCAATAATAACGTGAATAGATTATTTACAATTATTCAAAACTATTTACTACTATTTAAAATTATTTACAATTATTTACAATATTTACAATTATTTACAATTATTTACAATTATTTACAAACTAATTAGAATGACAGTCTCAAGTCTGGTATGTTTAAATAAAATTTGAACCAATATACATGTTTAAATTATTTACAATATTTTATGACATTGCAGAGATATATATTCTACTTGGTTTTTTTCCTCTCATTGAGTGTTTTTCTTAGTCCTCTAAATTTGTCCCTGAGGGACTGGCGTGTGTGCTCGGCTAAGAGTAGGCTATTCGCGACATGTTCATCCTGACTCAGACACAGGAATATTTCGTTGGTGCCAGCGCTATCTGGCAAACTTTTTGTTGCTCTGTATATAAGTTTATTTTCCTCTCTCGTGTATTTCCTGCACGCCATCTTGGACACGATGCTCTTACCAGGGCTTATTGTCTCCTTCAGCAAAGCTTGCGCAGGTGTCAGTGCTTCATGCTCTCCCGTTTCACCCTGCTCAGTGGCCTGTAAGTAAAGGGTTTTATATTTTATATTCAGATCTGTTATATTTATAAGGAAAAATTTGATTTTATTCTTACCTCATCTGGAAATAACTCTCGAGAGAATTCTTTCGATGTGCCGGCAATTTCGATCTGCTACATCAAATGAGAAAAGTGAAAATTGTGAGACAAGGGTAGCAATAAATTAACATGAAATATCAAAAGATTTTACCTTTGACGATGTCCCTCCTAGTGACTGTGTATGCTTCCTTTTCTGTCAAATAGGAAAGAATTAAAATTGTCAGACAGGATAGCAATAAATTAAAATGGAATATCAAAATATCTCACCTTCGTAGATGATCCTGGGGACCGATGCTTCCTCTTCTGTCAATTGAGAAAGAGTGAAAATTGTGAGACAGGATAGCAATAAATTAACATGGAATATCAAAATATATTACCTTCGAAGATGATCCCGGGGACTCATGCTTCCTCTTCTGTCAAATGAGAAAGAGTGAAAATTGTGAGACATTATACTCAAACATGCAATATCAGAATTTGTTACCTTTGGAGATGACTTATCGCTTTTTGAGCTTTCACCGTGCTTCCTTTTCTGTTAATGTAGAAAAATTGTGGTTGTAGAGGGCAGAAAGGAGTAAGCAGTTAATCCGAATTATCAGTGTACTTTACCATTGTTGTCTCGACCTCTTTTGAGGGCCCCGGTGCATGGATTCCTTGCTCTAAATAAGAAAAATTGATATTTAAGAAGGAGCAAATGTTTGACCTATCCATTTCACCTATTCATCCCCATTTGAAACCAAGAACTTACTGTTTCACCTCCTGTTGTTATATGATGAAGGAACTCCGCCATCTCGGCATCTGTTTTATCTGTGTTGCGCACATCATAGTATTTGTCGGCAGTTTTCACTGAATGTGTCATCTGGGAAGCCATTTCCTGCTTGCTGATGGTGCTTCCAGTTTTCCTGTGCGTAGATATGATTGATTTTCCGAGCCGAGATTGAATCAATGTGCCTTTGAGGTTCTCCTGCATGTTTTTTCCCAGTCGAACAATTGACTGGCTGATCTTGCTTTCATTCATCGCCCGTCCGCTCAGCGTGATGAAAATTGCCTCCTGTGGTTTTAATCCAGGCTTTCCTGGGATGACGGACAGGTCATTTGCGTAGATCGGCCATAGACGGTTGATATAAATGTCCACCATTTCCTTAATGTCTTCCCGCCAAAACAATTTGGCAGGCCTGATTGATGCCGTTTTATGTTGCGTCGTTTTTGTGCGATACACCACATCCTTGTCATCCCCGCTAATTTTCTCCGCTTTCTTGTAGTCGTCCAGGGACAGGTTGGAAATTGCCCCGTACCTCTGGCCACTCCCCATCACCACAAGAAGCATCACGTAGTCTCGCATTCTAGTAAAGTATCTCGCCGAAATTGCTTCTGGATCCTCTCGCGCTACGTTGAACAACTTCTTGATCTCCTTCGCCACATTCCCGTCGGCTAACGCTTGGAAATCATCTGGAGAAAGAAGCTCCTCTTGACCTTTCTCCCTCACTTGATCTCTCTGCTTCGCTGTTGCGACATTATAGTTGGAAGGCCAGGCTTCCAGTCTTCCTAATGCTGATCTTACCAGCTCAACGATGGAATGAAACGTCTCACAGTCTCTGCTCTGGCCAACAGAAACTGAAAAAACATTTTGATAGAAATTATGTACGCTTTGAGCGTTTGGGGCATTCTGGGCTTCGGAAGCAAATCGTTTCCAAGGAAAAAGTTATTTCTGATGGTATCTATGGCCCTGTCCTGCCACAATAAAGACACGTCCTTTGCCTTTGGCTTTATTTCATACAGTAAGCGACAAACCCGTCTGACGTGATCTCGCGCATCACCTTCCTTTCTGCCCTTGCCTTCGAAGCTCTTAAGATGATTGTTGAAGACCTCAAAGGCCTTCAACTTGTTGATGATCTTGAGGGTGCCATGTGGCGGGTCACCTAGGATAACACCATTTATTGTAATACCTGAACAAGTCAACCTGTATAAAGATGATAATTAATAATAATAATAATAATAAAATAAATAATAAAATATAACCTCTCGGACGTGGTTCTTTGAACATCACGTCCTCTTGCTCTTCCTCTTCCTCCTTGTCGCTGCTAGTTTCTTTGTTGCTGCTAGTTTCCTTGTCTTCACTGACTTTTTCTGCTCCTTTGTTTTGCGATGGGGTCTCCTGCTTGGCAGCTCTCACGAGCCTTGCCCGTGCCACGGTACTCTTGGCTGATACCGCATTATTCAAACTACAACATAATTAAATGAAATAAATGTCTGCAAATATCTTTAGAGCATACGTACATATACATATCCTATATGTGTCTATTTACTTTTTTTACCCTATATGTATGCATTCAAGACACAAACGGGCTCACTAACCATTCATAGTCGGGATCTTTTGTTTTCATGTTGTGGACGTTTCGAAAGTGTTTGTCCACCCGACACACCATCGCTTTGCACCCCGCCACAGGGCATCTAATTGGTGGGTCTCTTTGCGAAACCCCAGCCTTTACCGCCCTTGGTTGTTGCCTGGATAGAATTCTTGCATCTAATTTGCTAAGTTTGTGGCATGCCACCAAGTGTTTTGATAGATATTTCACTTCCTTGCTGCACCTCGGGCAAGGCTTTCCTCGTCGTTCTTATCGCTACGGAAAAATTTGATAAAAGTCGAAATTAAAAATTGCCATTTATTTTAATTTGCCCAAACCACAAATTCTGAAAAAGCCTAAAGTATTAACATAAAACTAAATAACAATATGTACAAAATTGATGTGGCAGAAATTATAAAATGTATAAATACCATTTTCACTTCCTTCCCTTGCACGTCGACAACCTGGCCCTCGTCTTGCGCGTCAGCGACCTGGCCCTCATCTCGCACATCAGAAACCTGGCCCTCGTCTTGCACATCAGGAACCTGGCCTATTATGACACCATCTGAAAAAGAACAAAGCAAACTATAATGAGGGTCAGAAGCTGTGAAAGTATTCTATAAAAACGCACTATAGGCTGTAGCACATATTTACAAACATATCTAATAGTATGAAACAGTTATTGAACTGCACACTTTTGTGATGGTGAAGATATGGTGTGATGTAATTAAATATACTTACTGTCATTGTTTTCTTCTGTCTTTATTTGTTTTTGCTCATCTAAGTCAAAAGAGACATTCTGTATATTAGCAATTTTTAGAGTCAGACAATAACTTGTGCTTGAAAAAACACACTGCACATGCTAACATACCACAAAAGTAAAAGGTTTTGTTGATCAATCCTAAATTTCTGTCTTTAAAAAACTAATACAAACATTACCATTAAACTCAGCCATTTTAAATTGCACAACACACTAAAAATGAGAAATAAACAAATATCAGTACTACATACCATACTAGCATCTTGAAAACATATGTTCTCTAAGATGGTGCAGAAATAAGTTCTAAGTGCTTTTCTTCATTCAGTCTATATTGAAGCATTTCTTTTTTCCTAATTTCCAATAGTCTTTGAAATGTTATTTGTTCAATCACCAGTGATGAAAGACTTCGAACCCTACTTAATGCTACATAGGTTAACCCAAGAGTTGTTTCTTTTTTCCCAATATCAATCCATGTCTTTTCTAATGTTAAACCTTGACTTTTATGAATTGTCAGATCCGCAATTAAAATAATTGATTTGCCACCAAACAACTGATCTTTTACACCTGTGGCTTGTCTACAACGCCCATCCATCCCACCCATTGAGGTTTGACCATGCATTGAGTATTCATCAATGAGTATAAAATCAATACCTGACATTTTATGTTGCAACATGCAAAGACTTCGCCCTGTCAAATCTTTTTGAGGCATGCAAGCAACTGGAAGCTTTAAAAAGGAATGAATTGTGACACCATTGATAAGGTACACAGCTTTTCCTGTTGTTGCCGTTACAACAAATCTACTTTCCAAGAAGCTATGAATAGCATGTATGAGGTAGCATTTCCTTGTCCCTCCAAAACCAATTATTTATGTTAATAAAGGTTGTGTATATCAATGCTTTTTGAATGCTCCACAATCATGTTATATGCTATCTTTTGCTCCTCATTTAAACTATTTATGTCTATTTGATTGCGTAATTTATCGACTTGGCATGGGCTGGGTTTTTTAAATTTTAATCCAATTTGGCATTTCCCCTATTTGCTGTTCAGTATTCTTGGCACAATCTAACTGCCAATTAAACGAGTTTTGGGGCATGCTTTGTAAATCAGGAAGACTATTGGAATTATGATAATTTGAAAGTATCATCCATTCCTCCTAAGTATCTTGCTCAGTTTTTTTATGTTGTTTGTTAGAAAATTCAATGTAATTTGAAACATTTTGAAGCCTTTCTGCCCACTGTGGAACATATTTCATGGCTAATGGAGTTTTTAAGTAGTCATGCAACAATAAAAGTAATCTCATTTGTTTCATTACTTCCCCATGCATCCTGTTGAGAATCCTTCCATGGTTTATATTTAAGTAATTGGTATTTGCAATACAGAGCATAATTGTTGCCTTTGGACACGCCTCTCAAAAATGCTCGCAAAATCGTCAATATGCGATACGCGTTCACAGCGGTCATTTAGTAAAAAGTACTCTAAATCTTTTGTTACATGAAGTATTTCGGTTAAACTTTCCAATATGGCGGGTAGCGGGAGTGGAAAGTTTTATACGCGAGACGAGGTTTTGGCATTTGTTGGTGAGGATAATAAAGGTGATGGTGAGGAGGAAGTGGCCCCCAAAAAAATTGAATCCAGGGCCCAAATATTTATTAATAACACGCAATTTAAAGCGTCCAAAATTTTTATGAATGAGGCACGGTTATGGCTACAGTCCATCAGTCGCCGTCTTAGCGGGAGACGAACTGTAAGGAACCCGTTCTACGGTGAAATTTCAAGGGACATTCCTTACGAAATGTTCACTTTCCTTGTGAGATTGGTAAAACTTATCCCTGGCTGTTGCCCGCCATTCTGCTACCATGCTGTCAACAAGAAAGGAGAAGTTATCTCATTTACTTCACTAAGGCTGGTTGTCGATTTTCTTGTTTTACTTGCTCGATTTTCTGCCGACAAAGTAGCTTTGTATTTCAAGAGAACTCTTGCCACTGGTTCCAGAAGAGGTCATAAAGTTTCTATAATCACATCCGATGAAAAAGACTTTGCTTTTATTTATAAACGCCGTCAAGGTAAACTTGTTATTTCGTTTTATTTTGGTGAATGGAACACTAGTGGTTTTCCACAACATGTAGAATAGCTTTTATTTACGGTGGTGAGAATTCTCTTGTTTATACATGGCTACTTCAATATTTTTTCCAATATTAAAGTTAAACCATCTAGAATGAGATATCAATGAAGCAAATGAAATACTCTTCTCCTGTCTTGTTTTCAACATAAAGTAGATCATTATTAGAGCCAATGGCAATGTACAAATTTTTTAAATGAGTATACAGCCATTTGCAAGCAACTGTTAACTGTGAAGTTTTTATCATGTTTGTTTACATTTCAAACTTCGTTTAACTGGAAAACATTGAATTTTAAACTATAAACCAATCAGGCTACAATGTGATATTTCAACAGTTGGGTGGGACCTGTCGAAATGTCACAGTGTAACCTGATTGGATTATAGTTTGAAATTCAATGTTCCAAAAGTTTTAAACATGAACAAATGTGATAAAAACTTCACAGTTAATGGTAGCTTGCAAATAGCTGTATCCTACAACATTGGCATGTTTACAAATTAAGTTTTACCAATCTCATTAGTTACAAATTAAATCATTGGAATATTTCTAAACTGAGATTTTTAAAAAAATTTGACACTTGTTTTTCAAAAAAATATTTATTAATATATTAGTATATATAAGAAAAAACTTTATTAGCCATAGTCACCTGGGTTGCTCTGCTTAACGGTGAAAGCTATTGGCCACAAAAAAAAGAATTCAGCTCAAAAACCACATATTACTAATATATAAG